GCCACCCCTCTCCAGCAACCCAGCTCTGAAGGCAGCACAGAAGCAAGGGTGACAATACTGCAACCCCCCCTAAAATAACCTTGTGACCCCTCTGCAGCTCCCTTTTGGGTCAGGACCCCCAATGTGAGAAGGGCTGGTCTCGCCCCATGTAATCTGTATAGTATATGGTAAATGCACACAAAAGACCAGGTTTCATGGTCCGTGATGCGTTTTTCATGGCCGTGAATTTGGTAGAGCCCTAAGTATGAACCCTTCATCTTACATCAAACATGCACATCATAATCAATATCAGGAGTTCTCAGACTGTTGATATAGAAAGGTCTTTTCAACAGAGCTCTTGATAATTTAACAAGCAACACAGTTTTTCTCACTCATCTGAATTTGGTATCCTTTAGGGAAATATTTAACAAAGTTAGTTTGTAGCTGACCTCAAAAATAATTTTAAAAATTAGATCTCTTTATATAACTGGATTTAAAACCATTCTAGTAGGGCACCTTATGCTGAAAGTACCATGTGTATCCTCGTTCTATTTTTAAAACTAAAAAGTAGTCTCAAACAGTTTACAGGTCATGCCACGTGAATCTGGAGTTAGCCGTGTGCTTGAGAACCTCGAGAACTGACCTTGTACAGTCATCCTGAACACAAGGAATACCCGTGCCAAAAATGTTTTTCCCAAACTTTAATGAGGTTTAGATGGGAGTCTGGCTCTGAGCCAAGCAGGCGTGTGCTCCACTGGGCTGAAGAAGTCTGTTGTGTGGAAAGATCCTGACTGGACTTCAAACACTTAAGTAAAAAAGGACAAGACTGCACAATCTCTTGCTGAAACTGCTCAAGGAAAAGGTGATTACTGGGTGTCCACATCAAGTGTGCAGACACCTATGATGCACCTGGGGAATCACAGAGATGCATATTACTGTGTCCAGTTCAGTTTTAGATAAGGATCCTCTTGCATTTGTTCATAACAAGGCTTGCTTTTCCAGAGTTTTTTTGGGATATTAAAAGTGATTTCCTTCTATGATTGATGTACACACAAATCCTACTCTCGTTTTCACATAGCCTATATTTTTACTGTTAAAAAAAGCAATACATGCAGGGTACTTGGCTGCCCACTCTCTGCCAGGACCAACTGGGACCCCTCCGTCATAGGAGAGATCGCTGCCAGGTGGACACTGAGTGACGTATTTAATGACATTCATGAACCAAACACCCTTTTAAAAGAGAACATAACAAAAGAGGGCTCCCCTCCTCTTTATAACATAACAGTAAATTTCATCAATTCTTTAGTACCACAAGATTGGTTGCATGTCAGTCTAAGGCAGAGGTTCTCAAACTGTGGTCCATGGACCACCAGTGGTCCACGAGCTCCATTCAGGTGGTCCGTGGATAGTTCCCTCTAAGGTGCACGCCTGGGCGGCCGCACACAAGAGAATGAAGGGCCACTCACGTAATGAAGGGCCACCCACCCATGCAGGCGTGGCTCCACTTATTTGGTGGCTGGACGCTGGAGAAGATGCACATGTAAGGTGAGGAGGTGGCCTTGGGGGAAATAAGGGGTTGGTGGGAGGGGGCAATGGGATGAGAAGAGGGGGGTGGGGTGAATTTGAGATGTGCAGGGCTGCAGCGGCCAGAGAAAGAGGTGACTTTCCCCAGCTCCAGGGCTGCGGCTGCTGGGGAGAGATGGCCCTCCTTCGCAGTCCCAGGTCAGGGCCTGCTGCAGCAGGGGAGAGAGGGCACATCCGTAGCACTAGAAAGGTAAAACTACTGATATTAAAATATGAGTTGCGTGCTTTTATTTGTAGAACAAAAAAAATGTTAATTATTATTAAAGTTTTTTTATAAAGCACTTTTATCCAAGGGGCTTTACAATAGTTAGCTAATGGTACAAACAACATTTGGAAAGATCATTAAGTGGTCCACCGAGACTCTCAGCAATTTTCAAGTGGTCTGCGAAAAAAAAAGTTTGACAACCACTGGTCTAAAGAATACATCTGTTTGACAGTATCTGTTTTACACCATAGTAATGACATAGGTTCACTTTGAGTCACAAGGGTATTGGCAAAGGAAAATTTGTATATTGAAAGTCTTGCTGTTGCCATGTTGGCACTACAGCCCCATCTATACTGTCCAGGAAAAACACATTATCGCACTTTTCTAGTGAACTACTCATAAATATAGTTCATTAGAGAAGTTCTAGCATGTGGCCTGATATCCTGAGTGATTCAGCACCTTTCAGGTTCATGATTTTTCCAGATATTTTCTTATACTTTTTACTTATAGCAGGGTAATGTCAGTATATTACAGTACAGAAAGGCTATAAAAGATGCATATATTTTACAAATAAAAATAAAAGCTATTATCTCACTAACAATACTAAATTCACTGACTAAAAGAGTGGAGAAACATATTTTCTTAATGCACATTTATAATTACAAGTATTTTTACAGTAACCATTAAGAACATCTGGGAGCTGCAAATCAAAGAGTCAGGATTGTATTTGGGCTAGTCACTGAAAATATTCCCAAAACTATTTTCCCATTCAGATAAGTTTTGCTACAAAACAGCTGTATGTCCCTGTAATTGTGGTAGGGCCATATTTACATACCTACTAGCTTGGATAATACAAGCAAGATTAAAATCTCAAAATGGTTATTAATATGTGATCCTCAGAGCAATTGTGCAATCTTTCTTCTTTGTCTTTCTAGAATCCCTTTTCCTTAACAGCTTTAAGGCTCCATCTACACTATGGTTTCCCTTGCGGTTGGATAATGTGTTTACAGATGGCTTATACAGAAGGTTTTTGCAAACATAATTGCAAGAGGTGTAGATGGAGCATAACATTTTTTTTAAATTAAGGTTAGGTTATAAACCCTAGAAGTACCAAATCCATATTACGAGTGTCTTGGAATAAATTCTGAGACAGAGATTAGCAAAATTATATTAAAGAACCTCAGAGGCTACTATGACTAAGGTATGTCTAGTTTCAGAGTAACAGCCGTGTTAGTCTGTATTCGCAAAAATACAGTACTTGTGGCACCTTAGAGACTAACCAATTTATTTGAGCATAAGCTTTCGTGAGCTACAGCTCACTTCATCGGATGCATACTGTGGAAAGTGTAGAAGGTCTTTTATACACACAAAGCATGAAAAAATACCTTCCCCCACCCCACTCTCCTGCTGGTAATAGCTTATCTAAAGTGATCACTCTCCTTACAATGTGTATGATAATTAAGTTGGGGGTGAGGAAACCTGGATTTGTGCTGGAAATGGCCCAACTTGATTATCATACACATTGTAAGGAGAGTGATCACTTTAGATAAACTATTGCCAGCAGGAGAGTGGGGTGGGGGGAGGTATTTTTTTCATGCTTTGTGTGTATAAAAGACCTTCTACACTTTCCACAGTATGCATCCGATGAAGTGAGCTGTAGCTCACGAAAGCTTGTGCTCAAATAAATTGGTTAGTCTCTAAGGTGCCACAAGCTATGTCTAGTCACTCTTCCAACACCACTGAAGTCCACAGGACTCCACCACTGCTCCGGGGTAGAGAGGCTGGGGGGAGAGTTTGTCACTTGTCAGCTGACAGCAAGGCAGCTTTCTGCAGTGCTTAATTTGCAACGGAAGAGGAGCCAGGACACGAGCAATTTTTCTACTTTAATAGCTGACAAGGCAAGCCCAGCAGTGCCGGAGCTATTAAGTGCCAAGCCCAGGGGTGCCGGGGCTGAGCCCTGGCACAAATTAAGCACTGGCTTTTAGGGACTGGCCCAGTAGCAGAGAAAACGCCCGATCCCAGTCCCAGAGCAACACAACTCGAAGCAAGGGCCGGGCCCCACCAGCGAGCTGCAAGCCCCGGGGGAGCGAAGCTGCCCTGCCCAGCGCCCGAGGAGCTGGGGGGGCCCTTGGACCCCGGGCCCCAGCCGGCAACCCTGCGGCCCCAGAGCGGGGCGACCCGGCAGCGCCGCGGCCCGCGCGCCCGGCGGCCCGCTCCCCCTCACCTGGCGGGGCCGGGCTCTCTGCTGCGCCCCACGGCCGCTGCGGCCTCCCGCTGCCGCGCCTCAGCCGCCTGCCCCCGGCCGCAGGCTCCTCCGCGTTCCGCTTCAACGTGGCAGCCGGAGCGCCGCCCTCGTCAGCCCGGCTTCCGGCACCGAGACCCCGCCCGGCCGGCCGGCGCCTTCCGGGCCGCGCAGCTCCACGCCGGAGCCGGGAGAGGGGCCCAGTGCGTGTCCGTAGGGGCGGCAGCGGGCCGCTGCAGTTCTACAAGCCCGGCCACGGCAGCCCGGCTCGTTTCAATAGAGCGGTAACGTTAGAGCCGCTGGATGGCTGCCCTCCCCCCCCGGTACAGGGTTGCGTATCAGCATTGCCCTGACCAAGAGGCGCTGCCACAGCCCCTGGCGTGAACTGGTTTCCGTCATATACAAGGAATACCGTTTGGTTCAATGGCTCTCGGGCCCCCCCCCCGTACAGAGTGTTCTAGGCCCCCAGTCTCTGAGCGGCTTTGTCCCTTCTCCTTCCCTTGGTAAGAGCCCCAAAACCTTACACAAGGTAAGGCTCCACCGTACTGGCCACTTACAAGTCTGCAGCCTCACTTCTGTTTCTGATCTATGACCAGATTCCACCGCCAAAATGTTCTGCTACTCAGTACAAGACGCTAGCATTGAAGGCAAAAGGTAAGTTACAGGTAACTGGCCCCATTCACTGTAGTTTGCCTCCCCAAAGCAGGGTGGCCCAGGAGCCAGATAAGCCCCAGCAAGGGCAAGGCATTTTGATCACCTTTACTGGGGTGAATGACTGGGCTTTGCCATTTTCATGGCAAGGTCACATTTCTTTCTCCATGTTGAGTACTGTATGTGACCCCTACTAGTATAATTCCCCAGGTGAAAACAGGGATGATTTCCAAACTAACAGCAGTGTTATAAGGCTTACAGCTCATTCATGTTTGAGGCACTTATTCTACAGCAGTGAGTACCAGAGAATTGATAGAAATAAAGCCAAGACACCACATATTTAAACCAAGGGCAGCATATCATGTTTATTATCAATACAAATGAAGAGGATTTTTATAACAGCCTCCAAAAGCAACCTCCCAAGATTCACAGGTTGTAGTTGAAACAAATGCTTTGAGACCGATTTCTTGCCTTCACCACTACTTTTTCCACTATAAAAAGCATTACATCAGCAACTAAATTACTTTAACCCCCTCAATGAAAAAGAGGAAGCAAATTGAACAATTTTCAAGCATCTTCGTTAAAGATGAAAGAAGAAATTCAGATGGAACATAGGAACTCTTCACAATTACCTGAAAAGTAAAAAAGCGTATTAGATCTTTGACAATATAGATACATGCCTAATTTAGTGCAGATTAACATCTACTTCTCAACATTCTTAGGAGTCCTTCGCTCAGTAAGCCCACAACTTCAGTAAATGTTCCTAAATTCCCCAGACCTGAAGAACAGCTCTGTGTAAGCTTGTCTCTTTCCCCAACAGTAATTGGTTGAATAAAAATTACCTCACCCATCTTGTCTACCAAGCTCAGTAACAGTTCAGTAAAGCCCACCATCTATTACAACCACAATTAGGATGTCCTCCCAGTAGTGTTTAAACAATTTTTTGTATTTCTAGAAACAGACTCATGCAATTTTTACAGGTTTAATTAGAGGAAATGCTCATTACTGCCTGGTTCAGTTTATTTTAAATTATCCCCTTGTCATCTCCAAGACCTGAAGTCTGAATATACAAAATAAACACCTAACAAACATGATGGGTCTAACAAAAATAAAAAATTCAGAATCAGAAACAAGGTCAGATCCAAATTAGTTGCACTGAGGTACTGTAGTACACGCTAATATGCTGCAATACTGAGATACTTACAATACCAGGCATAAACTGAATCAGCAGACAAAGAAATTAACAAAAAAGTGTTAATGCTTACTCACATGTCAACAAGTGCAGTCAGAACAGTCTTAGTTCACCTTTCACAAGTCAAGAGTAATAATTTAATGGCTGGGGAGGGAAAGGACAAGTTCTTTTGTTATATATGCAAACCAAATGAATTCCAGAAGTGTATTATGTTTTTTCTTAAATCTGCAAACTGAACTGACTCTCAATGGTTTTAAATCTAGTTTTGAATTTTTTACCCTGTGTCCTCATCCAGTCAAACACTAATCACAGTGAGTCATGATGTGAACAGCAGTGAAAAGTTTTAATCATTGGACACTAGGCAAAACAAATTAACACAATAAATTAAAAATAACTAACCATGTTCATCTCGCAAATCTTTAAGCCTAGCTTACTATACATGATTTGCCATTTCCCAATCAAGGTCTAAAGTTGATAAAAAAAATATACTTTTTTAAAGAAAAAACCAAGCTCATTATTCTCTAACCACATTTAAAATTTGGGAGGCTCTCTAAATCTATTATTTGGAGGCTTTTATTTCAATAGTTTTAAAACATTCCATTTTCACCTTTTATTCTCTTTTTTGCCCCCCAACAGAACATGCTGAACCATGAACTAACTAACTTTATCTGCTCAGGACAGGAAACGGGCCAGCAGTGGACATAGGCCAAGGAGGAAGATAGGGCACAAGGGATTCTACCACTGCAACTACTGTTATGGCACAAAAGGAATCAAAAGATCAAAGGCCCTTTTTTCTTTGATGTTTGGTACTTGATCTATATTTAAGTTATTTTGGCAGTTGTGTCAGTCAGGGTGTGAGAAAAACCAAAACCACATCAGAGAAGAGGACTACTTACACCTAAAAATCAGTAAGTTACAGCTTCTTGCAATTCACTGCTAAGTTGCCAAACCTTCTCTTCTACAAGCAGTTTAGACTTTTATGGGAAGTGATGCCCATTCCTCAAGGATGTAGGTAAAATAAAATATTTAGTTCTCATTTTTAAATATTCATTCTTAAATTATTGTTGGATTCACCAATAGTCCTTCAAATTGGAAGTTTAATTACGGAATTCAGCTATAGTTCAAAATCACTTAATGAAACCCTCACCTGAACAACAGCTAAGTAATATGAACTTCCAGATTCCAAGCATGCCTGGCAGATCTTGTCAGTAGAACAATCCTTAAAGGAATAAGAACATACATTTAAACAGTGATTTTTCTTCCCAAAATTACAGCAGTGCAAAAAGTATCAAACATTAGCAGCAACAGTTATTTGCATTAGTAATATTTATTGGCTTTACACAGCCTTCCACTTAAATTATGTCAGCACATTATGTCGGTTTTTAAACCACATATCCTCATCCAAACAGATACTAATCACAGCACATCATGATGTGAACAGCAGTGAAAAGGTTTTAATCATTGGACATGTGTCAAGTAAATATTAAGTGAAAAGTAGCTCTTAGCCACTCCTTGAACCAACACTTCACTTGGCTCTAAAAAGTAGTAGATGGCTGTCACGCGACAAAGGTTTCACTATCTGATAACTAGTTGATGGCGTAGGTCCATTTTCTAATGGGCAGGTTATATACATTAAAAACCAGCACAATAAAACATTGGGTATTCTTCTAGTGTCAAGTGTGGGCAACAAGTTAATGCTCAGAGCAACTCAGTTACACTTGCACCCAGAAAGGTTCCTCCAGTCAAGGCTAAGGCATGCCAATGGTGGAGTGAATCTTGCACCACTATTGTCTGCAAGGTATCTGTTCTGTGGAACTTCAAGTTGGATTAGTTTCAGAGGAACAGCCGTGTTAGTCTGTATTCGCAAAAAGAAAAGGAGTACTTGTGGCACCTTAGAGACTAACCAATTTATTTGAGCATGAGCTTTCGTGAGATTAGTTCATTCACAGTTCAGTATTGAGAGCCATCAATATGGCAAGTTCTTGCTGATCTTCCATCTCTCTCCTCCTTTCATCCCCTCATACTACAGGTAGATCAATCAACGGCTACTTTAGCTTTAGAATAGGTGTCAAGGTTCCCTATTTATCACTAGAGAGTGTCTTAAATTCCCAAAAGTTTTACATTTTTATACCAGAGCATGTCAGTAATTCTGAACATGCCCTCACACCAACATTAATCCTTACGTGAGATCTGTAAAACAGCAGTGCTCACTAGCCCAACTGGCTAGTAGAGCTACAGTGAACGTATCTGGTACCACACAGGAGAAGTTAGCCATCCATGGATTTGTTCCCGTAAAGCCCTTAAGGGTTAGTCTAATTTTGGCTGGTGCACTAATCAAGATACGTAGGGCCTCTTCCCCATAAAGTAGGCAACCTAAGAGCCTCATGCTGAAGTGCTCAGAGGCTGCTGTGCAAGGCTTGAGAGGGAAGGCGTGTCTGCAGACACAAGTACTCCTTTTCTTTTCGCAGACACAACGTGAGCCACCAGGCTCTCTGCCGAACCCAGACAAGTCAAGGCACAAGGACTAACCACGACTCAGAACTTACCCCGGGCCTGGGGGACGCTCCATGCGTGGGGGGGGGGTCTCGGCTCAGCGCTCGCAAGCCCCGGCTGTTCCCTGCTGCTAAGGCCCCGGCTACACAGCACACGAACCCAGACTCAGGTTCAAGCCGCAGGCCCCTTCCGTCCACACAGGAATGAGCCTGGCCGGGCCCGGCTCACGAAGCCCGCCGGGGGGGCTGGTGTTTGCCCCCCCACACGCCGGCCCCCGCTCCAAGGCGCAGCCGCCGGAGGGAAGCGGCACATTTCCAACAGCTCGGCCCCCCCCTCAGGCAGAGCCCGGCCCCGCCTCGGCCCCAGGCGCAGAGACGCCACGTGGCGCCCCGCCTGCCTCAGGGCCGCCCCGCCTGGGGCCCACGGTGCTGCCTGGGGCCTGGTCAGCGTCCCCGCGGGCGGCTCCTTCCCCATCGGGAAGCCTGGTCCCCTGCTCCGCGCCAGCGCCACACGCCCCACGGCAGCTAGAGACGGAAAGGAACGAGCGTGTGACCAGCAACCCGGATACAGCCGCCCCCAGACACAGAGCGCCGCTCCCATTGGCTCCAAGTACGCTGGGTTTGATTGGCTGCCTCCTCCTGTGCCGTTTCTGATTGGTTCAACTCTCCTTCCTCTTCCTTCCCTAGTTCCGGCTTCCGCTTTGCCATGTGGGGCGGTGTCGCAGCGAGTCCCCGGCGCCGAGGAGGTGTGGTCACAGGAACGTGGGGAGGACAGCGACCAATGAAAGGCTCTCTTCCGCAGCTCCGGGGCTAGCGAACGAAAAAAAAAAAAAAAAAAGCGAGAACCAATCGGAAAGGGCAGAGGAGAGGCGCTCACCAATCTGAAGGCCCGTTCCATCAACGCTGGCCGGGACGGGAACGTGGGGGCGCCTGACTTGGCTGCGCGCGACAGCGGGACGTGGCCGAGGGCGCGCGAGAGCGGGGCGGCCGGGTGCCGTGCGGCGCGCGGACCATGACCCGCAGCTGCTCCGCTCTGGGCTGCACCACGCGGGACACCGGGCTGAGCCGGAAGCGGGGCATCTCCTTCCACCAGTGAGTGGGGCGGGGGCCCCCTCAGCCGCGATGGGTAGCGCTGAGAGGGGACACCGAGGGGCTCCCCTCAGCCCCGCGCGGACGAGTCAGACCGCCACGCGTGGGCCTCACCAGGGCCGTTCCCGCGCGGTCAGACTCACGAGCCACCTCCGCCCTCACCCAAATCATGAGTAGCTTAAACATCGAGAGGCGGGGGAGGGGCGCCTTCCTCCGCAGCCGCCTTAGGTGGATACCTGGAAGGTATTTTTATAATGGAAAAAGGCGAGATTTTTCTCCTCATCCCTAGACTCCAGGAGCTGGGACTTGAAAACACCACCCACGACTAGCGTTGGCGGGAGGCGACTTGCCCGCGGGCAATATTTTGAGAACCATGGAGGTGGGAGGGAAGGCTAGAGCCTTAGGATGCGGCCTGAGCCCTGCTGACATAGAGTGGGGGGATGTGGCCGCTCACCCACACCTGAGTTTTAAAGAGTTAAACAGCCTTGGGATCTGCACCTTCCCCGCAGAAATCCCTGTAAATCATTGTGACCTCACAATCGCCTTTCCCTATGTTTTTCTCTCCCCTGCCCCAAAGTGAAAGATTCCCCCCTCCCCGCAATATCACAGCAAATAAAAATAAGCATAAATGCTGAAATTGACTCTTAGAGCTGCCAAAAGAATTATAAAACATTCTTGTTTCTTTGTTATATTAAAAAGAAAAATTCTATCTGCTCAATCAGTGGTTGAAAAACAGGGTGATGGTGGGGAGGATATATGTTCATAAACATTTTGCTCTGTTTTTCAAATTTTGCCATTTTAACCATTTCAGCAAGCTCTACTGACATTCGGTGTTGGAAGAGACAAAAACATTATTCTTTCTTTTATTGTAATCCTAGAGGGTACATGCATCTATAGAAGATCAAGTATTTTCAGACAGATTTTGTTTTTTAAAATTGTGAGTTGCCTTTTCAATTTTAAACTGAGATTTTATAATTTAACCCAGACTGTTGAGTAATGTTTCAGGCCCCCACAGCCGTCTCTAAAACCTCAGAACTTTCAACTACAGTTACCCACGGACACAGGATTTACCTCTGAAAATTATTATGCTGAAGAGAATTAAAGGGAAATAGAGAGTCCTAGCAGGACCTGATCCTGAAAATATTGTAGCTTTGCTCAAGTGAGTAGTCCCATTTCAGTGGGACTATCATACTTAAACTTACACATGCTTAAGCATTTGCAGAATTGGAGCCATAGGTCCTGAACTACTGATCCCCACAATTATCTGCCCTTACTTAAAATGAGGGCAGGATAAATCCATTATTCTTCTGAGTTTAAATAAAATTGAAATTAATTTTTATTTCAGATGTTGTGGGTGGGAGACAGGAGAGCACATGGGTCTGCTGAGAAAAAGATCTCAGGCTTTTCACTTCTCCATCATAGGCCAGTATGATTTTGAGGCCTTGATCTCACACGTTAACATTGCATTATTGTTTTTCTTATCTCGGATGCAAAAAAATTAAAGTCCCAGTTTACTAACTGTTTAGTGTCACTTACTAATCATGGGTAACAGTATACATTCACCCAGACTCTTCCCCACTTACTTGCACTGAGTTGTATCTTATTCTATGAATAAATTGACCCTTACTTACATACACGTGTATGTCCATTCTGCTCCTTTAATTCCCATTGACTGCTGTATTGCAGGATCAAACCCTGTTAGTGTGCACTAACTTTCAAAATTCAGCTTTTATGATTTATCTCCATGGGAAAAAGCATTGTTGTATTACCCCAGAACAAAGTTTTCCCAAATTTCAAACCCTCATTAACTTCAGTGAGCAAGGACTCAGAGATTTTTTTTTTTTTTTTACATTCCCAATTGTATTTGCAAATGGTCATAGCTTTGTGAGCTTAAAAATAAAGTAATTCACCTGTAATTTGAGTTCTCTGTGGATATTGACTATGTCGATTCACATTCCAAAAATAAGGAATGTAATATTTTTCAAATCTAGCAATCGTACTTAATTCAGGACTCTTTCCATGCTTGATCCCTAACCCTGCAATTAGACGTGTGCAGGTGGACCATTCCCAAGTCTGCTTGCACCTGGCTGTAGGGAGTCCTAAATCTGAACTTTCAAAATTCAGCTTTTATGATTTATCTCCATGGGAAAAAGCACTGTTGTATTACCCCAGAACAAAGTTTTCCCAAATTTCATCCTCTTGTTTTCCTCCACTCTTCCACCCCCAGCCCCCCAAAAATTGCATTTAGGCAGTACCAAGTATATGGTAATTTCAGCCCCAATGCTGAATTTTTCAGAAAGTGAAAGTGTGTAGGTGAAAAATAGCATCTTTTATAACTGCTATATTTTGAAAAGGGTAGCATGTATGTTTGAAAGAGACCCAGTCAAAACAGACAAAGGTCAAGGTGGATAGACCAGAGAAGGGAAGATGTCTTGCAGGCCTCCTCCATGTATGGATCTCCATTTGAAGCCCTAATATTTCAGGGTAGATTAACAGTGCATTTGCAGAGTACATGCTGGGGCATCCCACAGAGTGAGATTCAGCAATTAAGCAATCCTAACTGCACAGGATTAGGTGCCTGATCTCAGAAGTGTTCTGAAGTGCTCCTTAATCAATTTAACTAGGGAATTTGTAACTGTAAAATTGTAACTTTCAAAACGAAAGTCTTTGAATATTAAGGACACTTTTTCTGCTTTTTTACACCCTTTGTAAGTTTGGAATAGTACCATTGCCTTCAATGGAATTACTCAAGATTTACAGCAGTTTAACTGAGTAGAATTTCACTTTGACTGTATTATGAGAGAGCTCTGCTCACATTTCAGGTTTCCTATTGATGACATACAGCGTACGAAATGGATCCATGCTGTTAATCGAGCAGACCCCAAAAGCAAAAAGGTTTGGATTCCAGGACCTGGTGCCATATTGTGTTCCAGACATTTTGCAGAAGTGGACTTTGAATCATATGGCATGAGAAGAAAACTAAGGAAAGGAGCTGTACCTTCTGTTTTTCTATACAAGGTAGTTAAAAAGAACTTTAAATGCAATTACCATTTTTAATAGATTGGAAACACATTAGAAACCTTAAAGACAAATTCTAAAATTACTTGAAAAATAGAGGTTGCAACTTATGTTGTAAGGCTACAGCAACACAAGTTGAAACGTCTTAGTTTATTTTATGCTGTGTCACAAATACACTGAAAGGGGGATGGGGGAAGGAAAACTTTCTTTATAGAAGCCATTTTGAATAATTTTAAATACATTGCTGGCATTAGTGCTCTTTCAGTTTAAACTTGAATAACCCTCATCCTGCTAACAGCTCTTTTGAAACTACTGTTGCTTAGAAAGAACCTTGTCTTTTTCCGGTAAACTAACTAAATTTAAGACAGTTTTATTCTGATCTATCAAATCTAGGTAACTTGATTCCTGCCATGCCCATGAAAAGTACTGTAAAAAATACAACCCTCTTGTTACTGTATATGTATATTTTTTCTCATTTATATTTAAATATTTATTCTGGTAGGCTTTCATGCCTATTGGGGTGGTCATTGTTTGAAGGATGAGGCTATAACCATGCTCAGGGGAAGGGTGATCTTTTGGCTAAAGCACAGATACTCATGAATGAAATCTCACAACGCCCCTGTATTTGGAAAGCGCTTTGAAATCCCCAGATTGAAGGCATATTATATATATGCAAAGTGTGGTATAACAGTCTAATATCTATTTAATCGATTGTGGTAATAATATCTCTCTGCACTTAACTTGAAGCATTTTATAACAAGCATTTCTGATCATTAATGATAGGCAGAATCTGACAGTTGAAATTTTGAATTGCATTGCACCATACCTGTTTCCTTTTCCATCACACCAGCAGTCTCTGTATTTTATAGGCTTGTTACACCTTTGTTTTTCCTACATTGCAGCTATCTTCCCAAATTTTAGATCACGTCCTCTATTTTCTGAATTCTTCCCTGGTATGACTCATGTATCTCTGCCAATTTTATTTATCCCTTTCAGAATTTGAAAAGCCTCTCTTTTATAGTATTAACAAAACTGGCTCTCTTACTCTTTCCTTGTAATTTAGTTCAATGTTTTTCAGACAAACTGAGTCCCAACTCACCAGTGGGTCAGGGGAAGTTTCTAGATGGGTTGCAGGTCCCTAGGCAAACATACACTTCTTCCAGGGTGGAGCAGAAGGAAGGCCATGAGGGAAAGGGATTTGGAGAGCAAACCTGCCCTGCACTCACCCCACATCAGCAGCTCCTGTCCTGCAAGGCTGGTCCCAGATCCCTGTTCTGGGCATTGAAACCTGGCACATGCGGTCACAGTGCAACTTATGTTTGGTCTGGGCGCTCCTCCATCATAAGGGAGGGGTGGCTGGGCCAAATTTGAATGAGTGGCATTGTGGCCTGGCACATGGGATCGCAACACTGGGTCAAACCTGTGTAGCAT